CAGTTTAGAATGACAAGGAACAAGACATGGACCAGTCTCGAATCTAGGAGATGCCCGCAGGAGATTATCCTGAACTCCAAGTCCACAGTAGGGGCAGTCAGAGTAGTCGGTTTTGAGGCGGTTTTGACGGTCGGTTTTCAAAAAGGTTCTGATTTATTTATTGTGGGATATTTACAGAACCGTCTCGATTTGTAGAACCGCCTCTGGAGCTGGTTCTGCAAAGGTTTTGGAGCCACTTCTCTCGTATCATAAATTTATCTGAAAAGCTAACAAAAATCAAGAACCGAGAACCGTAACCGCCGTAAAACTGCCTCTGGAGCCGGTTTTAAAAGGCAGTTTTGAGGCGGTTCCGGTTCTGAGACCATCAAAAGGTGCAGAACCGCCTAGAGAACCGTCTCCGAAAATAGGTTGGTCAAAGCTCAGATCAGTTATCACACGGTTATGATGCAAAACATTTTTGAAAACCGCCTCAGAAATGACTGTCAGAACCGACCCAGAACCGCCCGAAAACTGCTACTCTGACTGCCCCTAGTGAATCAACAGTGAATGGAGTAACGAGTTGACCCAGTCGTCTGAACGCCGGACAAGGTTACTTTCCTTGAACTTTTGTCGGAATCGAGTGGACTTGAGGTTGAAAGGTTGAAGAGACAGGTTGATCGAGCAGAACGAGTTCGTACGATCAGCCGAAGTGACCCGGAATTTGAAACTCCGCCGCTTAACGTCCGAGTCAAGCATCTAGCCACTACCGTGCCACCTCCCCTGCCTCCTCGCATCTATCAGCTATACGGAGATCGTTGCCCACTTTAAAAAAAACATGCTCAGGCCTCTGAAATCAGAGACTTTTGAGGCCTCAGGTTTCTTCTGTTTGAGTCGTCCTGGGCCGGTCTCCGCTTCTCTTTGGTAGACGCTTCCTCAGAGGCTGAATGCGGTTATTTCTGAGGCCTGCAACGGACTCCGATCGGAAGCGCGGAAGGCTCTTTGGAAAGCAGGTCCACTGATGATTTAAATCAAGCCCCAAACCATTTAGGTTCGCCTCACGTCATGGCCTTCTCAACTTCTGCCGTTTTATTCTCACTGCATCCACCGCACGGAGCACCTGATTTACCTGATACCGCTTTTGAATGCTCGCCTGACAGCCGCGTCCCCGAAAAATAACCCACACCTCACCCTCATGTCCCTGCTCGTCCTCAAGACAGCCGCATGCGCTCTCTTTGCGAGCTTAGCACTGTACTATCGAAACAAATCGCGTTCAAGGTTACCACTACCCCCTGGACCGAGAAAACTGCCTCTTGTGGGGAACCTATTCAATATCCCACCGACATTTCAGTGGGAAACCTACATGGAATGGAGCAAGAAATATGGTTGATGCCCTCGTATCCGTGTTTTGTCATAGCTACAATGGCTGACCCCATGTAGATTCCGATATCATTCACCTCGACGTCGCCGGAACATCGATGATTGTCCTGTCCTCAGCCGCAGTCGCGAACGATCTCCTGGAAAAGAGGTCCGCAGTCTATTCAGACCGGTACGTGCTCAGTGCTCCTTCCATTGTCACCTTTTTCACCCCCAATGGTCACAGAGGCCCCGCGCCCATCGTAACTGAGTTGTCAGGATGGGATTTCCTCATCGGTTCGCACTAACATACACCCCATGCCCAATTTCTCAATAAGCACTTGCGGTATGCTTTTATGATTACATCTTGCTGTGGCCAATCTCGAACCGCGGTGTAACATCAGGCGATTATTGGTGCGCACCTGTTCTCCCGCACAATAGTGCTACGTCTGAAACCAATTAGGCGATTCCACCGGCGGCTGATCCACCACGAATTCCACGCTGCTGCTGTGCGCGCCTTCCATCCGCGCGAGCGTGCGGCCACTCACGATCTGCTCCGGCGTCTCCTCAACACTCCGGACGACTTCATGGGCCACCTGCGACAGTACGCTCAATTCCAAATATTTCAACCACTTGCCAACTGGTGCTACGCAGGATGGCCGGCGAAGTGATCATGTCCGTTGCGTACAGCATCCAAGTCCGCCCCTCGCACGACCCGTACATCGCCCTCACCGAGAAGGCTCTGGCTGCCGTGCCCGGGAAGTTCCTGGTCGTAAGTGCGGGAATGCTTCGGAGATAATATTAATAAGGCTCACCAAAGCCCGCAGGACTCGATTCCGCTCCTGAAATACATCCCCGAGTGGTTCCCGGGCGCAGGGTTCAAGCGCCAGGCGCGCGTGTGCAAGCAGATGGCGCAGGCAATGGTCGAGATGCCGTTCGCAGAGGCCAAACGGAATATTGTGCACTGTGTTTCTCCTGTGGTATCATGCACTCGGGAATGATGCATGTCTTCTGAAGGCCGCGGGGACGTCCGTGCCCTGCTTCACCACGTACGGCCTGCGGTCCCTGGACAAATACGACGCACCTGAGGCGAGGACGTACCGCGAGAAGATCGTGAAGGAGACCGTGGGGACGATGTACGTCGCCGGCGCGGACACGACCGTCTCGGCGCTCGGCACCTTCATCCTGGGCATGCTCGCGAACCCGGACGCACAGTGCGCGGCCCAGCGTGAGATCGACACCGTCGTCGGGGACGGCCGCCTCCCAGATTTCGCGGATGAGAGCGCACTCCCGCTCGTCATGGCGATTATGAAGGAAGTGCTGAGATGGAAGAACGTTACGCCGACCAAGTTGGTGCGAACTTCTGTTCATATCGCATTCAATCAACCTTCGGGTGACACATTTCACAGCTATCCCGCACTTCCTACCGGTTGAAGACGAGTATCGAGGGTTTCGGCTGCCTGCAAACTCGGTCGTTATCCCGAACATATGGTCAGTCCGAATACATTGTAAAATAAATGCCTGTAACCAACCATTGCTGACCTTTTATTTATACTGAAGGGCAATCCTCCACGACGAAGTAAGTTTCACTCTCATGATATTCAATTTAGCTGACGTGAATATTAATTCCACAGACTATCTACCCAGATCCCTACGCATTCAAACCAGAGCGTTTCTTGCTGAACGGCAAGCTCAATCCAGCTGTGCGGAGCCCCGATGCAGCATTTGGCTTCGGACGAAGGTGAGCTCACATCCTCAATTTACATAACAGTTCGAATGCTTTACCGCTCATGGTTCATTAATTCAAACCAGAATATGCCTGGGCCGACACCTCGCAAGGGACTCCCTGTGGATCACCATCGCGTCCATCCTCGCTGCGTTCGACATCACCAAGGCTATGGACGACGACGGCCGTGTGATCGAGCCCACCTTCGACATCGTACCGGGGATGGTGTGGTACGTGCCGTCTCTTGTTGAATTTATAGGCGAATGAATATTGATGGAGGTTTTTTTGGGGGCAGCTTCCCTGCCCCGTTCAAGTGCGCGATCAAGCCGCGATCTGGGCGCGCTGTGGAGCTTGTGTGGGGTACTCTCGACGAAGAGCCGGGTGTTTAGGCGGCGGGTAAGGTACTTACCTCAATACTCGGTGAAACTTTTGTGTAGAGAGGCAAGTTGACGATTGTTGCTGAATTTGAGCCGATTGTCTATTACAAGCAGAAATCGAGATTTCCACATTAGTTGATTTGATTATGTAGCCTTGAGGTCTCATGAGCGAGATTCTAGGTCTTAAAACGGACCAACTTCGACAACGTGAGTGAGCCTTCTCATTGATTTTCGCGTTTTCCGAACATTTCTCAAGTAATTCCTCGCATTCGGATGTAGCTTATTCCTCGGTTTGAGTGTGATTCCATCTCCTTGTGTGTGCACTGGATCTGGATCGAGGACTCCTCAGATCCTGTCCGTGTCAAATCTTTAATTTTGGGCAGAGAGTGAGCTGTTCAAATTGCCCACTAATTTCACTTTGCACTACTATTTGAGACCCCTTACTTGGCCACCTAAGCATTTATCCCTCAATGTCAATCTGTCCACTCACCCTATGCACGCCCGACTGGGTCAGAATGAGTGCAGGCATCCTACGAAGAGTTCAGGACCACTCCCACCCAAATATCTAAAGATTTGCCATTACAGTGAATTTATTTCGGCCGGCAGTTCAACATGGCCAAATAACAGGCTAGTTGGCCACCCAGTCAAATGAAGTCGCGAGACTTGAATCTGGTGCCCGGATCCATCGGAAATGTTAACTAGGGTATATAGTGACAATTTGAACACATAATACTCCACGTGCAACCCATATGAGGCGTGTAAATGACTGCTCCTCAGATGTGGGAAAGCCCCGAAACAAGGTCTCTGGAGCAATAGCACATTTATTGGACGATGGAACCATACTGTGACCCAAATTAAGATGCACATAGCTTATAAGGAAGGTCTACAACTTATTTACATCCCTAACTCCATAGTAAAGTCTTCACAGCTCCCCAGAAAATTCCCGGTGTTGGCAACACCAAAATTGGGTGGGTGGCGGTAAAGCATTACAGTGAGAAGGGAGTTGGGCAGATAAAATTCCAGCGTACCGTCAGCGTTGAGCCATTGGACACCAAAAAGTATTGTAGGCAATTCCAGAGTGGTAGCCCCATGGTGTCGTCTGATACAACGTCGGCCAAGGGGAGTGACTCAAAAAAATAGCGGCGCGTTCATGGGGGCATAACGGGGAGGATTTTGACTTCTCGGTGGCGGGGACGGTGGCAGGTGATTCCCCCAAATCAGGGGAGCAGATCGAGCCCGCGAAGTCCCGGAACGGCCAAGAATTGGCGGAGAGCCAGTTGAGACAAGAAATCCAAGCCGCGTCGGCGTAAGAAATTGATGTTCACACGTTGCGGGTCTTGATCCGAGATGTTGTAACTTTCGATCAACTCATCACTCCAGCTTCAAATTCGGTTCAGACCTTCGTTATAGATCGTACTCCCATCCCCCATTATCCCTGGAGTGAACAACAAGATGTCGGCATGCTAGACTCCAAATGGCCAACTAGGTGGGGTGGCCAGGTAAGGGGTCTCAAATAGTAATTCTCATTTGATGTAGTTGACTTATGCTGTGAGTCACACAGGAAAGGCCTGATGGTGTAGTGGTAACATATCCTCTTGGATTCTGCCAGTACTTGAACAATGTTTATGAGGAAATCCCCTGTTCAATTCAGGGTTAGGTCTTATCCATTTTGAAATGTTCGCTTTTTTGACTATCTTTTCAACATCATATTTCTTTGAACACATGAAACAGTAGGAAGGAGCAGCCTGATGGTGTAGTGGTTACACATCCTCAAGTTTTGAGGTGTAAGAAAAGGTTTGTGAGGAAGTCCCCTGTTCGACTCAGGGTCAGGCTGGTCATCTTGATAGCTTTTTCAGGTTGAATTCTGTAGTTGACAATCATTATAACATTCTCAAGAGAATGGGAAGGCATAATGGGTGTACAAAGGGAAGGCTTTATGGTGTAATGGTAACACATCCTCTCAAATTAACACATGGGAAAGGGTTTTGAGGAAGTCCCCTGTTCAACTCAGGGTTAGGCCATCATCTTTTTTTTTTTCTTTCTCAAGAAAACTGAAAATAAAGAGTTACTTATTACCCCACGATAGACAGATCATGGCAGTGTAGTGGTTACATGTCCTCATGTTTTGAATTACAAAGCAAAGGCTTGTGAGGAAGTCCCCTGTTCGAACCAGGGCCAGGCTATTGTGTTCAGCTTCTGTATTTTTTCTTTCTGCCCTTTATTTTGGATTTGGATTTGGAATGAGAATAAGGAGGTATAGTGCATGGGAGAGGGAAGGTCTGGTGGTGTAGTGGTAACACATCCTTTGTATATAATTGCGATAGATAGTTTATTTCTGAGGAAGTCCCCCATTCGACTCGGGGTCAGGCTGTTATCTTTTTCATTTTCCATGAAAAAAGCAAGTGTGATACAGTGTACTCAATTGTAACAGGCCTACGTGCCTTAGTAGTACTGTAGTCTACTTTATACTTACCATTCTTGTATTATTTGTACTTAGGGCTGATGCCAAACAAATATATACTATTACTCATCAAAAACCCCAATGTCCACCTCTACGAAGAGTTGAACGGGGCATCGTGAGACTTACCTACCGCGTGCGGCACTACAACATCGCCTGGGCACGCATACAACTACCCCCTGGCTCTTCAAGCAACCCCGCCGTAGGGTTACAATGGCCAGGAGAGCCAGCGCGGTCTTCGGACGTGCAGCAGGCTCTCCTACTGTTACCGGAGCCTCAAAGGGTATATGCACGGAGCCTTCGGGCTGCTCGCTGTGTTCCCCTCGCCCCACCTTGTCTTGCAAGGACGTGGAGACGCCACAAACGCGAATGCGTGGGTCGCATCACAGCAAGTCGCTTCTTGACCCCATGATAGACAGGCTGATCACAGCCTGGTAGTGTAACGGTTACACATCCTCAAGCTTTAGGTGTCTTCCAACAATAGCTTCTGAGGAAGTTCCCTGTTCGAATCAGGGTCAGGCCATCCTGCATTAGATACATAATTCTTTTTTCCTGATCTTAAGCATTCTGAGCCCGAGAGGGACTGGAATGAAGTAAGTAGTAGAAGGGCCTGGTGGTGTAGTGGTAACACATCCTCTATATATACTGGAGTGTGAATCTTCTGAGGAAGTCCCCTGTTCAACTCAGGGTCAGGCCATCATCTTTTTCTTTTTCTTTCTCGTGAAAAAACTGACAATATTTGCTTCCTACCCCACAATGGACAGATCCATCATGGCCTGGTGGTGTAGTGGTTACATGTCCTCGAGTTATTAATATGATGAAGACAGACTTTATGAGGAAGTCCCCTGTTCAAATCAGGGCCAGGCCTTACACATTGCTGGATGGTCTTTTTTGTTTGTTTTACTAATGTCCTTGTCATTCACTTCAGGTTGCAATACACTCGATCAACATGAAGTCTCCAAGTTCGAACCAGGCTGACACCACTTATTTCTGTTTTTTCCCGAGGGAACTGAATATAGGTCCTATGATAGTCTAAGACAGATAAAGCTGTTTAGTTTATAGAAAAGAGTGGCTTGATGGTGTAGTGGTAACATCTCCTCTCTATATACGACAGGATGATGCATTTCTGAGGAAGTCCCCTGTCCGACTCGGGGTCAGGCCATCATCTTTTTTTATCTTGTTCTTTCCCACGAAAACTGAAAATATGTTACTTATAATAGCCCATGATGGACACATCCATCAGGGCCTGGTGGTGTAGTGGTTACACATCCTCAAGCTTTAAGTCAGTGTCAGTCAACAATAGCTTGTGAGGAAGTTCCCTGTTGGAGCCAGGGCCAGGCCATATGCATCCTGCATTGAATTCATTATTATTATTATTCAATCCTAAGCATTTTGAGCCCGAGAGGGATTGGAATGAAGTAAGCAGTAGAAGGGCCTGGTGGTGTAGTGGTAACATCTCCTCTCTATATAAGAAGAAGGTATGTAACGTACTTCTGAGGAAGTCCCCCATTTGACTTGGGTCAGGTCCTCATCTTTTTCTTTTTCTTTCTCACGAAAAAACTGAAAATAGTCGCTTCCTACCCCACGATAGACAGATCCATCATGGCCTGGTGGTGTAGTGGTTACACCTCCTCACATTTTATACCATTACCTTTGAAAGCTTGTGAGGAAGTCCCCTGTTCGAATCAGGGCCAGGCCTTACACATGGCCGGATGGTCTTTTTGTTTTTGTTTTTGCTCAGGATGTCGAAGTCAGAATTCAGTACACTTGATCAACACAAAGTCCCCAAGTTCGAACCAGGCTGACACCACTTGTGTGTCCATTTTTCTTTTTCACAAGGGAACTGAATATAGGTCCCATGATAGTATAAGACAGATAAAGTTGTTTAGTTTACAGAAAAAGTGGCTTGATGGTGTAATGGTAACATGTCCTCTCAAATTAACACATGGGAAAGGGTTTTGAGGAAGTCCCCTGTTCAATTCAGGGTCAGGCCATTGTCTTTTTTTCTTTCTTTCTCACGAAAACTGAAAATGAACAGTCACTTATTACCCCACAATAGACAGATCATCATGGCCTGGTGGTGTAGTGGTAACATCTCCTCTCTAAGTAGAGGATGACACACTTCTGAGGAAGTTCCCTGATTGACTCGGGGTCAGGCTGTCACCTTTTTCTTTTTCTTGTTCTTTCTCACAAAAAACTGAAAATAGACACTTCTTACCCCCACAATAGACAGATCCATCATGGCCTGGTGGTAGTGGTTACATATCCCCACTGTCTATAATATTAATATCCATATGAAGGCTTCTGAGGAAGTTCCCTGTTCGAATCAGGGCCAGGCCATTGTGTTCAGCTTCTGTATTTTTCTCCTTTCTTTCTGCCTTTTATTTTGGATTTGGAATGAGAATGAGAGGAGAATAGCGAGAAAAGGAAAGACACTTAAAGGCCTGGTGGTGTAGTAGTAACACATCTCTTGTATATATAAGTAGTGCGAAAAATAGTTTATTTCTGAGGAAGTTCCCTGTTCAACTCAGGGTCAGGCCATATCTTTTCTTTTTTCTTTGTTCTTTCTCACGAAAAAACTGAAAATAACACTTAACCCCACGATCGACAGATCCATCATGGCCTGGTGGTGTAATGGTAACACATCCTCTCTGAATTAGCAGTTGTTGGTATCCTTTCTGGAGAAGTCCCCTGTTCGAATCAGGGTCAGGCCATCCTGCATTAAATCCATTACCTTTTTTTTTTTTTTTTCAATCCTAAGCATTCTGAGCCCAGGAGGGACTGGAATGAAGTGAATGAAGTAAGCAGTAGAAGGGCCTGGTGGTGTAGTGGTAACATCTCCTCTTTATATGTAGCAGGATGGCATATTTCTGAGGAAGTCCCTGTTCAACTCGGGGTCAGTCCATCATGTTTTTCTTTTTCCTTTTTCTTTCCCACGAAAACGAAACTGCAATAAACAGCCGCTTCTTAGCCCCACGATAGACAGATCCATCACGGCCTGGTGGTGTAGTGGTTACACATCCCCACTGTCTAAAATAGCCATATGAAGGCTTCTGAGGAAGTTCCCTGTTCGAACCAGGGCCAGGCCGTTGTGTTCAGCTTCTGTGTTTTTCCTTTCCAGGAGAAACTGCAATTTATTTTGAGATGAGAGGGAATAGTGGATGCGCAAAGGAGGTCTGGTGGTGTAGTGGTAATACATCCTCTGTATATAAATGGGGGAAGTTATTTGTTCCTGAGGAAGTCCCCTGTTCGACTCAGGGTCAGGCCATCACCTTTTTCTTGTTCTTTCTCACGAAAACTGAAAATATGTTACTTTATAATAGCCCATGATGGACACATCCATCATGGCCTGGTGGTGTAGTGGTTACACATCCTCTGGAAATATCACGATGCTGGTAATTATATATTTATGAGGAAGTCCCCTGTTCAAATCAGGGCCAGGCCTTGCACATTGCTGGGTGATCTTTTTTATTGCAAGTCGGCGATTTCTGATCATGAATTCACTGACAAGTATCACCCAACGTCGCACGTTCGAACCACGCCGACGCCACTTGTGTGCCCATTTGTGCTGCCGGCAGCTCCACGATGACCGAGGAGACCAGTGGAACGCCCTGGAAGGGGATGGATGTTGCGTGTTAGCAATACGGCGGCGCGGGCCGGAGCCGGGTGTTGGCTGAGTGAATATCGCCAGCCAGTCGCGGGCGGTGTTTTGACTTGCTGTTTATTTTGTGCTGGTGCGAGCAGTGTGCAGTCCTTGCCTTCCTCGCCAGCGATGGCCCTGCTCTAACAGCTCTTTGCCACCGACCACCACGACGACGAGCACCCTCTCGACGACGTCCACGACGACGAGCAGCACCCCCTCGCCGACACCCAGCATGCCCCGCGCACCCAGCGTCCCGCTCCCGCCCCCCGAGGCCGCCGCCTACGACAAGCAGCCCGGCGCCACCCGCAGCGACCTCCTCGCCGCCTCCTCCTCGACCCCGACCCCCGCGGCCGTCAAGCGCGCCGCCTCCGCCTCCGCGCCCACCACCCCCGCCATCCCCGCCCGCGCGCCCTCCCGCGCCGCCTCCGTCGCCTCCGAGTCCTCGCACACCTCCCACAAGTTCACCCTCAAAGACCTCCTCGCGAGCGGGCCCAAGCTCTCGCGCCGCTCCTCCGCGCGCTCCGCCTCCTCCCGCGACTCGGGCTCCGAGGCCTCGCACCAGTCCCACTCGCACCCCTCCTCCTACTCCAAGCCCCCCAAATCCGCGCGCTCGACCGGGGGCGACTCCGCCGCCTCGCTCACCAAGAAGTACGGCGTGTGCCAGAAGGTCGCGATCGGCAAGGGCGCCACGTCCGTCGTGCGCCTCGCGCACAAGTGGGACCGCTCCGACGGCGAGAAGCTGTATGCGGTGAAGGAGTTCCGCAAGCGCCGGCGCACGGAGACGGAGAAGGAGTATGTCAAGAAGCTCACGGCCGAGTTCTGCATCAGCTCGACGCTGCACCACGTCAATATCGTCGAGACGGTTGATTTGGTGCAGGACGAGGCGGGGCGGTGGTGTGAGGTTATGGAGGTGAGTGGTTTAGCGATGTCTTTTTGCTGTCGTTTTTCTCGGTGGCTGGGCGACGTTTGTGCTTGCGCGGACGCCGAGGCGCTTGGCGCTTGGCCTCATCTCGTCCCGCGGGTACGATGTAAACCCCCCGCCTATTGCGGAGCCATCGGCCGGATCTGCATCGACGAGCGTCATCGCTGCTGTGGCCGTCTTCGGGCGTCATCGCCATAGCTGGACAGGGCAGCGTGAGCTAGGCTGCGTCATCGCTCCGGCGGGGCGATGGGCATGCCCCGCTTAGGCGCCAACCGTCGCCTTCGTGGAACGACCGTCCGCATCGCCCTCGGGGTGGCGATGAGGCGCCATCGCCATCGCCGGGGGGCTGCCTCTTCGCTCCCTGTGCTGCGCCCTCCAGCGACGGGCCCGCTCCTTTGTCACTTGCGGAACGACCGACCGTCCCCGTCCGCGTCGTCATCCCATCCGCTCCCGCTCCCGCTCCGCGCGCCGTGGGACCGATGTGGTCACCAGCGGGCGGTGGTGCCGTGCGCACTCGTACCGTGCGGACGGAGCGCCGTCGGGCGTCGTGTGGCGCTGCCGTGTTCATCCTCGGTGGGCGGCGCCTGCGTCGGGGTGCCCTCCGATACCCGACGCCCGACGCCCGACGATCCCATCATACCCAGTCTGACTACGTCATCTCCTTTCCTCTTTTTCTTCATCTTTCAAAAAAAATACTAATGTGTGTGCGCACAGTTCTGCCCCGGCGGGGACCTGTACGCCGCGATCAAGAAGGGCGGGATGTCCCCGAGCGAGGTGGGTTTCTGCTTCTCGTTATATTTTTTTGCACGTTTTTTTTTCTTTCTTTGGAGCCGGAGTTCTTTGGAGCCCGAGCACGAGCCGAGGCCGACGCTGCGCCTCGTTCCGTCGTTTACCACGGCCGACGGGCGGGGTGACGCGCGTCCGTGGTGTGTGCGGTCTTGCGTTCGCCGCCCTGCGCGTCTGAGCTCCCGCCCCTCTCCCACCCTCCCCCCCTCTCCTCTTTCCCCTCTTTCCCTCCTCCACTCCTCCCCTCCTTGTTCCCTCTTCCCTCCCACCTTCTCTTTCTTACCCTCGCACCCTTCGCACCGTTCGCTTCCGCCCACCCTCTCTCCCTCCCTCCCTCCCTCCCTACTCTTCTTTTCCAACGGCTCGCTTCCGCCCGCCCTTGCTCACCTTCCCCATACTCACATCCACCTTCGCGACGTTCGCTTCCGCCTACCCATACTCACTCACCCTCACCTAGGTCGAGTGCTGCTTCAAGCAGATCCTGAGCGGCGTGGGCTACCTGCACTCGCAGGGCGTCGCGCACCGCGACATCAAGCCGGAGAACCTGTTCTTCGATACCGGGGGGCATTTGAAGGTGTGTGCTTTTTTCTGGATGGGGTTTCTTTTTTTTGTGGAGAGAGGGAGCGCTTTGTGTTGTTCGCGAGGTGGAGCGGAGGGTGATCCGCCACATTGAGGCGGAGACACCTGAAGCGGAGGGGCGGGCGCCCTGTGGGGATGGGACAGTGGGACAGTCCCGCGTGGAGGAGAGCCCTATGCGAGGTGGTGGAGCCCCGCTTGTGGCGCGGACGAACGCGTCTTGCGTGCTGGTGCCCGCGCGCCCTCCCACGCCCGCCGGTGCCGAGGCTGGGGCTAGGATGAGGTGGCCGTGCGTGGCGCCCCTCTGGCGGCGGAGTCGATTTGATTCCCTTTGGCATGCCGCCCGCCCATCTCCCCCTCCGCTCCTTCGTCCTCTTCACCCCCTTCGCTCCTTCTGCTCTTTCGTCCTATTCGTCCCCCTCCCTCCTTCCTTCTTTCCTTCTTCCTCCTTCCTCCCTCCAACGCCCGCTCAGCCCCTCTTCCTTCTCCCACTTTAGATCGGCGACTACGGCGCCTCGACGGTGTACCGCCTCCCATGGGAAGCGACGATCCACATGTCGACGGGCCTGTGCGGGAGCGAGCCGTACATCGCGCCGGAGCAGTTTTTGGGGAAACGTGAGTCCCCTCCTCGTCTTTGTTTTTTGTCACTTGCCGACACGACTCGTCGGCAGCCTACGACGCACGGCTCGTGGACATCTGGGCGTGCGGGATCGTGTACTACTGCCTGCACTTCCAGGAGCTGCCCTGGCGCGCGGCGCAGCCGTCCGACCAACTGTACGCCGCGTACGCCTCCGCCGCCGCCGCCACGCCGCCCCCGCCCCTCGCCGCCGCCCCGGCGCCCCCACCTCCCTCCACCGCCTCCTCCCCCGCGACCCTCAACGGCGCCTCCTCCACCGCGTCCTCCACCTCCACCTTAACTGCAAACTCAAATTCACATCCGACGACGGAGAGGGCGGACAGGGCGGAGCGCAACGCGCCGGCGTTGACGTTCCCGCCGACGATCAGCAACCTCTCCCCGCGCGCGTGCCGGCCGCTCATCCGCAAGATGCTCGAGCCGGACCCGCGCGCAAGAGCGAGCATCGAGGAGGTGCTGGGGTGTGCGTGGGTACGGGGCGTGGAGGTGTGCTGGGAGGTCGGGGAAAGGGCGCACCATGTGCATGTGAATGCGCGGGCGATGGCGGCGGCGGCGGCGGGGGTGGAGCGGTAACCCGCGCTGAGGGGGCGTCGTCCGCGCGTTGAGGGTGAGTCGTGAGTCGTGGTTTGTGTGGTGGGGAGGAGTGGGGTGGGGAGGGGAGGCGTTTCTTGGTGCTACATACGCTCGTACATATACTGATTGCTCGCTGTTGTTCTGTTGCAGTTTTCTCTCTAGTTACATAGTTCGTTAGTCACAAATTAGCTTCATAGTCTACATAGTCTAGTCTCTCCGATTTTTTCTTCTTCCTCTCTTTTCTTCTTTCTTCTTTGCATCGGTACAATTGCCATTGATAATCGTGGATAGATGAGTGTAGCGTGTAGGTTTAGGTTTAGGTGTCGGGTAATTGTAAAGTGTACATGTAATTATAGGCGCAATTGTGTAGAGGCTGTACTAAGGTTGGACGCAGCTCAAGCGCGACTGGACGTGATTTATTTTTTTCCTCGGCGGGGATTGGCTGATGGAGATAGTATTTGATATATATGGGCGCGTGGCTGTGCGGGTTTATTTTCGTCTTTCCGCAACACTTGTACCTGGAATCAGACGAACTACCTGGGGCACTGGAGGATCTGCGTCAACTCCTTGACGATTTCTGTGGACTCCTTGACGACGGGATGGATTCGAGGAAGATTCGCGTCCGTCGGATCTACAGACTCTAAATCTTGCACTCAGGCTTTCAAGTTTGCTGGCAAATTGCCGATCTGAAATGAAGACAAGGACACAAGCGAGCCTCTGAAACCTCTCGGCAGTGTCTCAGACCCCCTCCGGACTTGGCTGGCGACTTCGGCGCTGTCGGATGACAAACCGAGGACAAAAACCGGACGCTTGGGCCTCGCGGGCGGTGCAAAACGCGAAAAATGGCGAGTGCTATATGCGGCTGAGTCCGAAGTCTCTCGTGCACAGCCAAAGCGCCGATCTATTGTGAGGCTATTATGCTGCTCTCGCTGTCCATTCTGGTCGACACACCCCGGCGTCTTTGATGGCTGTGGGCGGTCCCCGTTTCATAGCCGGACAGACAAGGCAGGGGTGCCGCATCCAATCCGACATCACCGAACGCATATACGCCACCTGTAATCAGCCTGTAATTGTTGGTATAAAAGCGGGGCAAGCGCCGCTGTTCGGTACCTTCACATCTTTTCTTCCTCCTCCCACCCACCCCTCCCGCACTTTTTCTACCTTTTTTTTACGATGACGATTTCAACGAAGCTTGCTGTTGTGTTTGGCCTGCTCCCTGCAGCGCTCGCCGCCTCGTTCACGGTCCAAGTGGGACCGAACGGCACCTTCGCGTATGACCCCCAGTCCATCACTGCCGCCAAGGGCGACGACATCACCTTCGTCTTGTGGGTCTGCTCTCGGTTTTTTGGCCCTGCCCTGCTAATGTTCGCCACAGCAACCCCAAGAACCACACCGTCACCCAGTCGAGCTTCGACGCGCCCTGTGTCCCTGCCGTCGGTGGCGCCACCTCCGACTTGTAAGTCCCCCCCAAAAAAATTGCTGCGTTCGCCACTGACTGAGTGGGCAGCCGCCCCGTATCCAACACCTCTGCGCTCCTTCCGCAGTGGACGTTCACCCTTGCCGACGACACAACACCCACCTGGTTCTTCTGCGAACAGACCGGCCACTGCGGCAAAGGTGCGGCGCTCGCTTCGTCGCTCTGACGTTTAATTTACGCGAAACAACAGGAATGGTGTTCGCGATCAACGCGCCCGCGGACCCTGACCCGCACTCGTTCAGCGCGTTCCAGGCGCTCGCGATGCAGCTGAACGGCACGGGCACGGCGTCGGCCACCACGACCGGCTCGGCGACCACCACGGACTCGACGTACACCACGCCGCCCGCCCAGTCGTGGCAGACCGCCACTGCGACGATCACGCACGACTCGTCGACGTGGACCACGGTGTACACCAGCTATGACGGCACCCCATGTAAGCAGCCGTGCGCGCTGTCGTTCACCTTAGACACCTTGGCTGACCGCGGCTCTACAGCGCCCACCTACGCCGCGACGCCCATGGACCACAAGATCATGGTCGGCGCAGACGGCCTCACTTACACCCCGTCGAACATTAGCGCTGCCATCGGCGACACCGTCACCTTGTGCGCCACACCCCCTTCTCTCCATTGTCCGTGCAAGGCTAATAATAATATTTAAACAGCGAGTTCCACCCGAAGAACCACACCGTAACGCAGTCCAGCTTCCTGCAGCCGTGCAAGGCGCTCGACCAGACGTCCACCACCGGCCAGGTCGGCTTCAAGTCCGGATTGTACGTCCTCTCCCTCATTCTCAACCTACACACCAAAGCTAACCCCCGCCCAGCAAACCCGTCGACGCCAACGCCACCGACTTCCCCACCTTCACGATCACCATCAACGACGTGCGGCCCCCTCCCTCATGAGTTTATGTTTAGTTGACTGACGACCCACGCAGACCGCGCCGATTTGGGGGTACTGTGGCCAGCAGGGCCCGCCCGTGCACTGCACGCAGGGCATGGTCTTCTCCATCAACGCCGTCGAGTCGGGCCCGAACAACTTTGCCGCCTTCCAGGCGCTCGCAATGCACTCCGGCAGCAACTCCAGCTCCCCGTCGACGACCGGCTCCGGCGCTGCGCCCAGCTCTTCCCAACCCGGCGGCGCGCTCGGCAGCGCACCCGTGAGCGCCGCGGCCGTTGTTCTCGCCTTCGTTGCGGGGCTGTCGGCGCTGCTGTAAGCGGGCTGCCCGAACAGTAGTTGTGTTTTTATTCTACTTTAATTTTCTTGCTTTTACGTATCTTACGACGGACTTTTACGGCCTATAAATTTGCGCGTAGCGGCAGCGGCTTCGTACAATATTTTCACGAGCTGAACGGAGGGCGTATTTTGTAATGTTTGTGATAAAAGGTTCATTCGCTTCGTTGGTGCGGGCTAGTGTCGAACCAGGCTATTTTCTCGTCAATGAAAAAAAAAATACAAAAACTTGAAAAGCTATCAAGACGACCAGCCTGACCCCGAGTTGAATAGAGGACTTTCTCATAACATCACATTCACCAAGCTATACTAAGAGGACGTGTTCCCACTACACCACCAGGCCCTACTTCCTCTTGAGGTGGTCTACTCAATAAATTGTATTCTTCATTTGCTACCGAAAAAGTGAGAGAAAATTAATATGCCTGACCCCGAGTCGAACAGGATACGTCCTTAGAAACCTCATATGCCACGCAGTTCGTAAGGCTATGTTACCATTACACCACCAGATTGCTCCTTCTTCTGCCTCTAATCTGTTCTTGGCTTTGACGTTGAAAGAAAGAAATTTAAAGAAAAACATCATCAAAACGAACAAAGCCTAACCCCGAGTCGAACAGGGATCTTCCTCAAAGGCATTTATCTTCTCTCAAATACAGAGGACGTGTAACCACTACACCACCAGGCCACTTCTCACATGGTTCACACCTGGCCCACATGTCAATCTCCCTGATCAATTCACGTATAGCGGAATAATTGATCTGAACAGCCCAAATGTTCCCCGCATAGGATCCTGGGAATCGGCAGTCGTCAATTCAGTGTAAGAGTGCCTAAACGCGATGCGGTGAGGCAACCATTGAACCAAGGGAACTATCAAGAACTGCGAACAGTCCAATATCTATCGGGATCCTGATCCGGGGACTCGATCTCGTGGCACAAGAAATAGTACGTGAAGTTCTGATTTGAACGCATTTGTATGGTCAATTAACATTTGCGGCAGCTCGCGATACGATGTAGCCAACTTCGCCGTGGAGGCGTCCTTTAACACCAAAAAAAGGGCAGCAACGGTGAACATAGGTTACTATATTATTTTATTCGGGCTCACCGTCCGTTCGGAATGATGCCTGAGTTCTTGGGCAGGCGAAATCCTCGATTTTTTCTCAAGCAACGTACTTACCGGTTCATTCAATCGCAGCCCAACTCGAGCTCAAGGGGAAGAGGACTGAAACCACATGATCCCTCGGTTCAACCGTCGAACTCGCCTCCGAGGCCAAAAGGGAGGTTGAAAGAAGGAAGTCACAAAAGAAAGGACTCAAGCTGCCTGAGCGCCCCGAGCGCTGAGCCCAAGTCTTCGGCTTGCTTATGTATACCCGATGAATGCTGTGAAAATAATATTTGTTGATGCACTGTGAATTAGGAACATGAATCGAATTTCTTGGTGTCCGTGCGCAGCTCTTCGATCCAGGGCCATGGACGGGATGTAGGAGGCTACTCCGTGTCCGCGGCGAATCCATCAAACACCCAGCCGGCACTCAGCGCCAAGTACGGATGATTCCTTAATTCTGCAGCCGTCGGGCGTTCCTCCGGGTTCCTTTAGTGTGTTACAAGAGTATGTCAGTCGCGCGCCGTTCGGAGGGAAATAAATGGGCATGGCGCGTACACAGCAAAGCATTTCGCCCTAAAATCTTCCGCTTGTGGGGTGAGAACCACACCCTCTGGCACCGGTGGCTGTAGTTTTGAATGACCAAGCTGGGAGGCCGTCGGTTAGTGGCGCGCGCGAACCAAAACGAACCCCCCAGATCGCAGCGTACCTGGACCATGATCTCGATCATCTCGAAGCCGTGCCAGGGCCGCGTGCCGCCCGCCCACATTTCGAGCGCGACGCACCCGAGGCTCCAGATGTCGATCTTGGAGTTGTATCCGTTCGCTGGCGTTATCATCTCGGGGGGCAACCAGAACACGGCGCCCAGCATGTCTGTGTGCGCAGCATCGTTCTGGCTTCGGCTGTCATCCCGCTTGGCGAGCTCAAAGTCGGAGATCTTGCAGATGCCAGACGCTTCGACGAAGATGTGCTCGCATTTCAGATTCTGGACGAATTCGACAGAGGTCAACGCCGGCCAAGCTGATCAGAACTTGTGAACGAAAACGACGAACCCTATGCATAATCCCTTGGGAATGGAGATATTCGAGCCCAGTGAGGATCTGAGAGGCGAATGATTTGGTAGCCTCTTCCTCAAATCGTCCGTATTTGAGGAGGCAGCTCGCAAGGGAATCGCCGGAAACATATTCCAGGAAGCTGTAGGGAGGAGTGATGAACGCTGCGAAGCGAAGTGCCAACGGTGCGCGGGACTCACAGGCTCAGCGTAGTCGGGGTTTCCTCCGAGCCGATGTATTGGACAATGTTAGGGTGGTCCAAATCCTTGAGCGTCTCAATCTCCGCCTTCAGTGCCCGTAAGGTGACGTTCTGCGGACTACGCTGGTCATCTCCCGTCGGAATCTCGACTTGCTTGACAGTCAGTATCTCTCCAGTCGTGGTGTTGAGGCCCAAATAGACGCGGCTGTAAGCGCCTTGCTTAATGAACTCCCCACGAACCCACTTGAACGTTGCTGAAAGGAACCGTTAGTCGGAGTTGGTCCTGGAAGGGAAGAACGAGGATGGAACCTGCAGAATTTGACTGCATGACGATGGTACTCTCGAAGTGGTGGTAGATCGTGTATCAGGAGAGCTGTGCACAGCGATCAAGCGCTCACGGAAGGGCATCATGCCCTAGCACCCGAACCGCACGCACTTGATTTCTGGAAGAAATAGCTGTACGGTAGCTCACCACGACCATCAGAGAGATTAGAGAGACGACCAACGGCTCCGAGTTAACCACCCGAGTCAAGTCTCGACTGGTCCTTCGCCGGTAAGTGGGTATCATCGGAAAGGCTGATAGTGGTCGATACAAGAGTGTATCAGAAGTCGAAGACGTCCGAGCCTTGGAGCGCGACCGTCGACGCTTAGGCGGGAACGAACGGAGTGGCGGTGTTGATTGATTCGAGGGCGTTCGGAGCCACTTGCCTTACATAATTAGTAATAAAATTCGTCTCTTCCACAACTCTTCCATCTCTTATTTTCGGGGGGATCGCCAACATTTTGAGGCAGATAGACATTTGAGAATTTGCGAGGATGAAAGCACACCGCTCGCTTCTAGCAAGGATCCTAGGTTCGACGTTTTGCATAATACCTCTCCTGGAATACTAATATTCTACTCATAATAGACCTTCTATTCCGCCGTTGCCGATCGGGAATTTTGAAAGCCAAGCTGGGAAGCCGTATGGCTCTCAACACAGGACTGATTTGTGGTAACACTCAAATGAACACAAGGCTAGATGGATTTTTCAACTACATTGGGATACAGGTCGAGGGATAGCGCCACGACTCCAAAAGTATCAGGCCCTTCGCATGTTGAATACAAGAGCCAAGAAAGATAACGCCTCAAACCAGTAATCGTACACAAACTTTGAGTCAGGAGACCATTTGTCGGTCTTTCCAAATTCACTTCTCGACGCCCGGAACCATCAGTGGGAACTTAGCGTCGCACTCCTTCGACATCCTGGCGATAGTGCTCTTGCCCTCCGGAGGCGGGAGAGGTTCGGTTTTGCGTCTGCCGTCCGGTCCTGTGCGAACGATCCTGAAGGTGAAGGTCTCCCGGGTAGATCTACCCTGCAGCGACATCGTTCCCTTGGGATTGGCAAGGGTCCCGTTGATGTTGAACCCCTTTGGTTCGAGATCAATGGACTGAGGGACGTCGGACACACAGACGCACCTGCGGAATTCAGATATTCACAATCGAGGCACTCTCACTAACGCTACAGCTGTCCTGCGTGATTAAATGAGCCGAATTTTCTTTCAAGGCAATCAGGCGGAAGTTAAGCAGATGTAGAATAAAAATATGATCGAGTGTCGCCCGCGCAAGAGCATGTAGCCAGACTGACGTCCGTTACGGCGACGTGAAGCTGGACTAATTATTTCAGGATTTCGAAGGAAAATTGTCAAGAACCTTCGCTCACCTGGTCAATCATGGTCGTTTGTAAGACCTGGAATTTCTATCTTGAGGCCATCGGCCTTCAGTGCCTGCAGCGAATGCGATACAGCTGGGTCGAGTTCGGCTGGCTCGGGATCAACCCAATTCATCGTGGGATGCCGGAATCGGAAATGCGCGAGCCGCGCGCACTCCGAGGCGTTACCATGCCCATGCCATCTCGCTGCCAACATCGCAGCCGCCTCCGCGTACGGCAGGCGCGTGTAGCACTCCTCGAGGACGAAGGACCGCATGTTCGGCAGGAAGCTCGTGTCGCTGCAGATTCGCGTGAAGAGCGCCGCGAAGTCGGCCGGGGGCCAGTCGGTGAGAGGCATCTGTATCTCGCTCACCGTGGGGACGGCCTCGAGCGCGGAGATGGCGGTGGGAGGGAGGGATGACGCGATGGAGATTGAGGAGAGCGTGCATTCGGAGCGGGCGAGGAGTGCGAGTAGGCGCGGGACGACCGCTTGGTCAGAAAACTTCGCGAGCGTAAGGTGTTTAAGGGCTGGAGCCACGACGTGGTCCAAGAGACGCAGCTTCTGCCACCCATACAGCGTGAATGTGTGAAGATGCTCGAGACTAATCATGACCGCTGGGAGATCACTGGAGATATCTTCCGAGAGTTCGACCGAAAGCGTCTCGAGATGTGGGGTTTGGCGCAGAATCTGTATGCATGCAACGGAGTTGCTCCCGAACCATTCGAGCCACGTTAGCTGTGTCCATGGGAGTAAAATGCGCCGGGGGGGAATGCGGAACAGCGATGCGGCGCGGAGCTGAGGGGCGTCCGAGAATGCAGTAATCAACGGCAGAGCATCGTCCATTGCGGTGTCCAGATCCAAAATGACGGTCAACTTCTTCAGAAGTGGGACCCGTCCCTGGATTTCATTGATCACCCAAAACGGCGGGGTCAGCATCAACTGCAAACTCCGCCACTGCATGGACGATGGCGCCAGCAAGCCGAACACATTATAGGCGCGGTGCTGCTTGCGTATATCCAGATCCAATGGATGATCGCCAGCCCGCGGCAGCCAGTGTTGGAGGAGGTTCTCGGTGCCCCAGAGTGTCGACATAGGGTGTATTTCTATGTTCGACCACAGGGGTTGCAAATTGACGGCGATGGCGCGCCACGCCCGGCAAATACTGGCCAAGAGGAGAGGGCCGCACTGACTGTCGTGGAAATCGACCAGAGGCCCGACATAGTGGACGAAGACCTCGGCCGTGATTTCGGATGGAAGAATGAGGATTGGGGAGACGATGGATTCGAGCGCGGCTGCTTCTGAGTCAGTGGTCGCCACTGCGAGGTGGTCAATTGAGCTAGCTTCAAGTCGGAGCTGCAAGATTTCGGCCTCGATTTCGGTAGAATGAGCCCGCAGCATAGTGGAAGAAGTAATATTGGGGGCCATAGGAATTGGAGAGCTTTCTTGTGGGCCCCCATCGCGTGAATCCATCGTGGTCGTTCGCAAGAAAGATGAGATCGACAGTTTGTCGACAGTGTGACTCATCAATCTGCCATCTGATGCAACTGATGCAGCGAGGCAGGATAAGATTGTAGCCCCTTTCGGAACAACTAGGCTGAGCCACAGACTGAGCAGTATAGCGGACCGATCCGGACAAAATTATCCTG